AATAAGTTATTAATTTTGATACCTCTGTTTAGTAATAAATTATTAATTTTGATACCTCTGTTTAGTAATAAGTTATTAATTTCGATACCTCTGTTTAGTAACAAGTTATTAATTTTGATACCTCCTTTTAGTATTAATTACAATAACAGGTGAATTATTTAATTATACCCGATAAGTGTGATAACCTATCTATATCAAAATTTTTATTTAAATAAACAAATTATCTTACAGATACTACACGTCCAAAGAAATCTGGTGAATTAGATGGTGTACATTATCATTTTGTAACAAAGCATAATTTTCAAGAAGATGCAAAAGCGGGTAAATTTATTGAATATGGTGAATTCGAGAAATATCTCTATGGTACTTCATTAGCATCAATTCAGGCTATTATTAATCAAGCTAAAATATGCTTGCTAACACTTAAAGCTGAGGTAATTAACATTACTCTTGCTTTTGTCTATTTGATTTGTTCAATAAATAAAATAAGATAGCTTTAACCTGTCCTCAATTCTTTTTTTTTTTGTTTCAGATTTATGATTATAAGATCAGGAAGTAATTAATCATTATAAGATTAAATAGTAGGTTATCATGATATGATCAGAAAGCAATTATCATTACTCATCTCTTATCCTTATTTTTTGATCCCAATGGAATCGATTTATAACTAACTGATCAATTGATCGATTTATAATTGACTAATTTTTCTTTTTTAATGACTGATCGATTTATAACTGATCGATTTTTTGTAACTGATCGATTGATCAGTATATCACTGGCTGATTTTTGATAAATGATTAACTGATCAATATGTAACTGACTTACTTTTTTATAATTGATCGTTTGATCGTTTTATCATTAACCGAAATTAATTAATTAAAATTGATAAGCGATAAATATGAAAAATTCAAAATCACGTTATTTTATGTTTGCTTCAGAATCTGAAGGCATTACGAAGGACGACATTTATGCCTTATGTCGTATTCATTGCACCACCATCACTACAACAACTTCGTCGTCAAAAAGAAATTCTGGGACAACATGGAATTAAGGATGAACAATTAAAATTAATTTTAAATGAGGGTAAAACAATTGAAAAGGTTAGCATCGTTTTGTAATTTATATTAATTAGTTCTAATTAGAAATTATACGAAACATTGTTATATTATTTTTATAAAATTAAACTAATAGAATATTCTAGGATATCTAATTCTAGACATTTAATCAATATTTGCATAATTAAGTATAGATGAAATTTTAATCGATAATTGATTATTTTCGATCTTTTCATTAGTAACTGTTCGATGAGAAATATTGCAAAAACTTTTCTTGAGCATTTTATCATAATATGTATAGTTTTTTTTCTTTTCTAGCATTATGGTCATTTATTTGATCGAATAATAGTAAACGTTGATCTTGATCGATCATTGGAAGAACTTAAAGAAATAGTTCAAAAATTGGAAACAGAACCGCAATGGGTGCCATCATTTTGGCCAATTAATACCAACAATATTATTTTATCAACAAAATATGAGGAAAAATTGATATATTAAAAAAAAAAAATTAATTATTTATAAACAGTTTTCTTTTCATGTGTTTTTTAATTGTAAATTTTAATTAAGAATTTTATTTTTTAATTTTTGTTTTTCTTTCCCATCATTGAAAGAGATGATAGTACAGCAGGTAATATAATATAATATTATGCTTGGTCAGATGAAATTAATAAGTTCAATTTTTTGAATTTGACAAAAATTGAAATGATTAAAATTTCTACGATTTAAATTATAGACTGGATAAACAATGCTATTCTTGGTTAAGTAAATGTTGAACTCAAATGTTCTTTCTCATTTTAAATTACTTGTGTTTCTTACTCTTACTTTAATTTGTTTATTTTTATCATATACTTGTACGAAAATGTTCGACGTTTTGAATATCATAAAGTTGCGCATATCCAGTAAGCTTAAATTATTTTCATATAATAGAAGATAAATGTATATTTAATTTCATTGATTTTAATTTTGAATTTTAATTGATTGAAATTGGAAATGATTGATATTTTAATTATTCACTGTAGGATGTTCAATGTTAGTGAAATGTAAAATTATGATATTCAAAATTTCGGAAAAATCGTATCCACAATTAACAATACCTTTTGTATGTTAATATTGATCAAGATAAGAAGAATGTGTAAAGGCGCAAATTTACTTTAGGCGAATGATCCTTGACCTATTAAATATGTGAAATATTCTCGGTAACAAATTTTAATTAAGCGAAGTAAAATGCTACTTATCATTCTTCTAATCCGATTATTGATATTATATGATGATTTGACTTGGTTTCGATTTGTATTCCAACTTATTTTTTTTGTAAAAATAAAATTAATT